ACTAGTTCCATCTAGCTCTCTTCAACTCCTGAGGTGGTTGTGGAGGTGGCGTTTAGAAACAGTCTTAATTTGTCTTGCCGTGTCAGCCCGCGGACGTGGCCACAGCGAGGACCCCGTGTCCAACACTCTGACAATGTATAAATATATATATGTATGATATAGATATATATATATAGTGGTTGCAAGAAGTAGATGGCCCTGGCACCCCAAGATGTCTTGTATACGGGGGTCCGTATAAACCATGAAACTTGGGGGCCCTTGCGCCACCTACTCTAAAACCACGATATACAATTGTCGTATGCACATTGTATATACATAAATTCTGGGCCAATGGGTTGGCCTCTTTCGATCGCGCGTGTGTATGTGTGTGTGTGTGTCAACGCCTGTTTCTAGGGCTTTCACACATTGCAGGTTAATTCAAAGCCACTCAAACTCTTTTAAAGGCAGGGGGCACGGCGGCCGTTCACCTAGCCGTGCTAACAAAGCTATGGTGTTCGGCTGGAGGAGATACTGGACGCAGTATCTTGTACCTGCAAATTTTAATAGTAGTCACACTCAATTTCACCTTTGTTAAATAGTTCTGTTGGACCGACCCAGCACTCTTACAGTTCCTGCGAGTCAAGGTCTAGTTCCTGCAGCGGGTAACGTAATCACAGAGTGGGCTACCTTCACTGACTCGGCTCTTGCGAGCATCAATCTAAGTGTGTTGAAGAGCCCGCCTCTTGGCCCAGTTGTTTTTGGATTGTGGCATGTTTTCGGATGTAATGCTTGCAACTGCCCTTTTGCTGAGACCACCGGAGGAGGCCTTTCTATACCCTTTGTGCACATATACTTAGACATAGACATATATCTCTACGTGATGAGGGAATCTGTTGCTTGTGCGGCCCAATCGCCTTGGTCTTGGTTGGAGTTTGAGGGCTTTCCCTGCCCCACTGCAAATTGGTCTTTTCTCCTCTCAGTGGCTTCTCTAATTTCCCACCGCCATCATCATCGCCATATCGCCATCAATTGCCACCATCATCATCATGATCATGATGTGGGACTGAACCGACTTGAACAGTTGAAGTCAAAGATCAAATATTACCAGTATTTCCTGTTTCTTTTCAATTGTGTGAACTCGTTTTATGCCTGTAGGTGATTTTAATCTGGTGTCCTTGCTTGGCCTCAAGACGGCTGTAGAGCCGATGACTGGGCCGAGGTGTGGTTTTGGGCATGGCGGCTTTACGGGATACGTTGCAGCCGAGTTGTCGGCAAGTGATCAGCCAGCTACAGGAAGCAGGCTGAGTTGGTTGGAGGGTCCGAATCCGCAGTGGGAGATGCCCAAAAATATCATACCTGCCATGGGCCCCCGGTTTGGGGTGTCTATGAAGAGGCCCTTGGAGGTTAAAGGGTGTCCATTAATCAACGAGGTAGGTGTCTCAGGAGGGTAGTTGGCAGCAAGGGGCGAAGTGAATGGAAGACACATGGTGTCCCATACACATCATAATACATCACAGGTAGTTGAGAATGAATCATGAGAGAAAACCACTTCCAAGCATGTACATAGAGATAAGATGGTAGATAGGACACACATACAGTCATCTCGAGCTGGAGATCCATGCACGCCACCCTTTGTTTTCTTTTCTCTCTCTCTCTATGTATATCGATCGATAGTCTCTAAAAGTCTGTCTAGTCAATTAGATTAGATCAAACATAGTCCAAACAACACAACAGCACTGGATCGGAGAATCCAGGTGAGGAGGTTTGGATGTGCACGGGGGACCACAGCATCACTGCTGCTGCGGTGGCCGATGAGCTGGGTATCCCAATGAAGCATGTGACCTGGCCAGGTGGAGGCTCGATGCCGGGGGAATCAATAGGAACCCTATGGCGGCCTATGGGCATCTATGTGTGTTGTTTTTTCTTCTCAGACGTTTCAGGTCTTTCTATCATATAGAGGCGGCATAGTCGACCTAGGGTAGGGTCTATAGGTGGACCCTATCCTATACGTTCTATCGCTCAGTCGTGGGTGCCATCATCCACGATCGCTGGGCAGCATCCACGATCCACGATCCGCACTCGGCACTCTCAGGTGAGAGCCAACTGTCTCCCTGCCCACAAGGCTGCACTTGTGGCAGAGTTGCAAGCTGCGCGCAAGAGGGCCACTGGGCATTGGACGAATGGGTCAGTTGAAGAATGTTCAAGCAACGTGCTCAAGCTTGGTACTGCAAGGGTCAGTTTCTGTAGAAAAATACATGCATTCCACCATATTCAACACATTCCCATGATTTCTCATGACCTATTCTTTTGCCTGTGTGCTTATCCCGAACCATATTTGACCCAACCATAGCATGATCCAGCACAAACCAGCATTCCCAAGCCCATAGACTCCATGGCGCTGGGCCTGCGCACCATGTCTTCCGCCCCTCAGGTGATCTTTGTCGGCGACGGCGTCAACGACGCCGTGGCGCTCACCAGCGCCGAGGTGGGCGTGGCCATCGGCGCCGGCGCACGGCTCACGGTGGACGCCGCCGACGTGGTGCTCGTGCGCTCCGATCTCCAGGCGCCGGGACCGGACGGAGCGCGTGCCCTTCGGGGGGTGGGGAGTTGGCTTTTTGCGGGGATTGGAATGGAGTGCGAGCAGTGGGGCGCCCCAAGCAATTTGAAAGTCGGGGGGGGTAACGTCTTCACAGTACGGAAAGAAGGAGATTGGCTCAATGAGCGAATGATCATGATTCTCATTGCAAACATGGTACATAAAGGTACATATACCTAGAACCCATTGGACACCTGTTTTGATAGGACAAGACCATGTTGGGGTCGATCAGGTTCTAGGTATGAATTTGGGGAGGCCGTTTGGAATCATTATAGAACACTCAAACTTCGATGCTTTCTTTTGGGACTCATATTTGCTCGTCCGACCGGTTCTGTGGGTTCGATGTGGCAGGAGCTGCTGACGGTGAAGCAATTGGCAAAGGCCACGGTGTGGTGCATCAAGCGCAACTTCGCTTGGGCCTTCGTCTTCAACTTGGGCATGACCGAAATTAGAATTCGGAGGTTCAGCATTCATAACTGCATGATCCTGAAATGTGTAAACCTGGGTGTGTATAATGTTAGTTTCTTCAGCCGGTTCTATAACCACGGTTGCTTTTCAGGTCAGTTGGACGTTGGAGGGTGATTGCTAAACGTCCAGGATATCTTCGTGTTCACGCTTCTAATAGCTTCAGGTCATTCATATATATATATATATTTATTTATTTTATATAGACCGTAGGCAGGTGCTAGTCGAAGAGGACGGATACATCAACATGGATCAATTCATTAATTGGTGGTGGGTTCGTCCGAGCACATCCATTCGTTCCATGTCGGATGTTGCAACCGAGCCGGACGGCTTCCAACGGCACTCGGATGGTCAACCATGGCACATCGATTCAACAGGGTGAGCAGTTCGTGGTTACCAAACATCAACTTGCACTGTCTACCTCTTGATCCACGAAAAGGCTCCGAACTGTGTGTCTCTGTGTGTGTGTGTGTCGACACAATGATGATGTTGCATGTGATCTCCCTGGAACTAACATGGAAGATGGAAGACCAATGAAGACCCTGTTCCTTTACAAACGGGGGATTTTCCGATTTTCCACTTCCATGGGAGTTCCGCGGAGTGGCCCGCAGGATCCCCCTGGCCGCCGGGGTGCTGCAGCACCGGGGCATCCACTTGCCACCGGCCGCAGCCGCCGCAGCCATGGCCTGCGACTGGGAAGCAAGCCAGCCCGGGCCGCGGGGCCACGACGGGGCGAAGGAGGGAAGGTTTTGCTGGGTCAGAATGGAGGGAAGGACAAGGAGAGCGTATTTCAAGACCCTGGACTCCTGGACTCCGATTTTGAACAACATTGGTGCGGGGATATTGAGTTGCATGCGCAATGTCCTGCTGAGAACTACTTCTGATCGGAGGACCCGGTAGTACCGGGAAGAATGAACGGTCCGACATGATAGCTCAGCTTAACTCATAATCCATCATGGGGAAGACCCTTTCATGACTGTAATTAGCCTGGATGCTTGGAGTGAAGGATTTCCCATGCCAACACTCCCGCCCTAGCAAGTCAGTTGCCGAATGAGAACCCCAGAGATTTAGTGGAACCAATGACTGTGCCAATCTCTTGGTCTGAACTTCTGTGCAACAAATCCTCAAATTTTTGAAAGGCATTCTTAAATTTGACCATTTGGCTCCATTGGACAAGGCTCTTCCATCATGGTGGTCTCCTCCTCCTTGATGCTCCGTGGCTTCCGCCCGCGGTTCATCACTGACGAGCGGACGGGGTTCGGGCGCATGGGCGCACGGAGAATGAAGAACATCGAGCGACACCCGCTGACAGCTGATAGCCCGCATGGAGACGTCGTGTGAACGCTTCAGAAGAGAGCTGTAAAGTGCACGACGCTTTTCAGAGTTTCACCCTCGTTGTTGAAGTTTTGGCTTCAAATTCACTTTTGGGGTGGGCACGGACTTTGGGAAAGCACATTTAGACAGTTCAGAGTTCATGATCATGACTGAAAACGACTGTGGTGAATGTCCCTGACCGCTTCAGATTATTGATTTAGGTCCTTTGGTCGCTTAGGTGCCACGTACATGGTGCGGCACAGAAAATTCATCCGATCACCGCCTGCCTGCCGGTCTCTTCGAGGGCAGCGGAGTGATCGGAATCCACATCCCGTCGAATGAATGGGGGTGTTTTTGCTGCCTACGGGAGGAGCGACGGTCCCCCAACGGGGCAAAGGTGCCTGGTAGACCGAGGGAAGTGACGCCCTGCGGTCCACCGACAGAGGCTTTTCTGCCATCCATGAAACACGCTTGGGTTTTGGAGAAAAATGAGGAAGAGGTGTGAGAGCGACACGCTGACAGCAGGTGAGTAGACTAGTGGTCCAGTCACAGTCATGTCAACGCTAGCTCAATGCTTATGTCATGAGTCACATTGTGTCACGAGTCGAGCGAAAGATGCTGAACATCTTCAGCCTTGTTTGCTCAGGATGGCTTTCAGTTTCCAGCTGCATGTCAGAGGCTCAGCACATCTCAGAGCACATCTCAGGACAAGATGCCACAGCGCACCTTAGAACCCTAAACCCTAAACCCAACCTGTCTAGAGTCTAGTGTTCTTTTCAATTGTGATGATGGAGTTCCCGATGCTGGCACGCACACACTCTGACACTTGTATTCAGTGAACTCAGTTACCACGTTGGGAAGAAAGGCGGTGGAACAGCATGGCGGAAAGTCCGAGACAATTGTAGGTGTTTCAACAAGTTGTTGGTCAAGTCTGCAGAGCGATCGATCGGCGCGGCTCAGCTGCAAGACAACGCGGCTGCAAGAAAGGGTTTAGGGGGAGGTATCATGCAAGGACCATGAAAACAAACCAGAAGAA